TTAGGTCTTGGCCGTCTGCTCCTTAGGGATCCTTGGCCGTCTGCTTCTTAGGATCCTTGGCCGTCTGCTCCCCTTGGCCGTCTGCTCCTTAGGATCCTTGGCCGTCTGCTCCTTAGGATCCTTGGCCGTCTGCTTCTTAGGTTCTTGGCCGTCTGCTCCTTAGGATCCTTGGCCTGCTTCTTAGGTTCTTGGCCGTCTGCTCCTTAGGATCCTTGGCCGTCTGCTTCTTAGGTTCTTGGCCGTCTGCTCCTTAGGTTCCTTGACCGTCTGCTTCTTAGGATCCTTGGCCGTCTGCTTCTTAGGTTCTTGGCCGTCTGCTCCTTAGGATCCTTGGCCGTCTGCTTCTTAGGTTCTTGGCCGTCTGCTCTTAGTTCTTGTCCTTGCTTCCTTAGATCCTTGGCCGTCTGCTTCTTGTTCTTGGCCGTCTGCTCCTTAGGATCCTTGGCCGTCTGCTTCTTAGGTTCTTGGCCGTCTGCTTCTTAGGATCCTTGGCCGTCTGCTCCTTAGGATCCTTGGCCGTCTGCTTCTTAGGTCCTTGGCCGTCTGGATCTTATGCCTTAGGTCCGTCTTGCTCCTTAGGATCCTTGGCCGTCTGCTTCTTACCGATCCTTAGGATTGGCCGTCTGCTCCTTAGGATCCTTGGCCGTCTGCTTCTTTCCTTGGCGGAGAGGATCCTTGGCGTCTGCTCCTTAGGAAGGTTCTTGGCCGTCTGCTCCTTAGGATCCTTGGCCGCTGCTCTTAGGACTTAGGATCCTTCTCCATATCTGCTCCTTAGGATCCTTGGCTCTTAGGATCCTTGCTTCTTAGCTCCTTTCTTGATCCGTCCCTGAGCCGTCTGCTCCTTAGGATCCTTGGGCCGTCTGCTTCTTAGGTTTGCCGTCTGCTTCCTTAGGTTCTTGCCGACTGCTTCTTAGGAATTGGCCGTCCTTGCTCTGCTCTTAGGTCCTCTGCCGATCCTGCTCCTTAGGATCCTTGGCCGTCTGCTCCTTAGGATCCTTGGCCGTCTGCTCCTTAGGATCCTTGGCCGTCTGCTCCTTAGGATCCTTGGCCGTCTGCTCCTTAGGATCCTTAGGATCCTTGGCCTTCTGCTCCTTAGGATCTTGGCCGTTCTGCTCCTTAGGATCTTGGCCGTCTGCTTCCTCTAGATCTTTGGCCGTGCTGACTTCTTAGGTTCTTGCCGTCTGCTCCTTAGGATCCTTGGCCGTCCTGGCCTTCACTTAGGATCCTTGGCCGTCTGCTCCTTAGGATCCTTGACCGACTGCTCCTTAGGATCCTTGGCCGTCTGCTCCTTAGGATCCTTGGCCGTCTGCTTCTTAGGTTCTTGGCCGTCTGCTCCTTAGGCTTCCTTGACCGTCTGCTCTTAGTGATCCTGTGGGCCGTCTGCTCCTTATGATCCTTGGCCCGTCTGCTCCTCTAGGATCCTTGGCGTCTGCTCCTTAGGTTCTTGCGCCGTCTGCTCTTAGGATCCTTGGCCGTCTGCTCCTTATGATCCTTGGCCGTCTGCTCCCTTTGGCCGTCTGCTTCTTAGGTTCTTGGCCGTCTGCCTCCTTAGGATGAGGTTTCTTGGCCGTCTGCTTCCTTAGGTTCCTTTGGCCGTCTGCTCCTTAGTCCTTGGCCGTCTGCTTCTTTAGGTTCTTGGCCTGCTTCTGGCGTCTGCTCCTTAGGATCCTTGGTCGATCTGCTCCTTAGGATCCTGACCGACTGCTTCTTAGGACTTGGTTCCGTCTGCTCCTTAGGATCCTGCCCCGATCTGCTCTTAGGTTCTTGGCCGTTCTGCTCCTTAGGTTCCTTGGCCGTCTGCTCCTTAGGATCCTTGACCGACTGCTTCTTAGGTTCTTGGCCGTCTGCTTCTTAGGATCCTTGGCCGTCTGCTCCTTAGGATCTTTGGCCGTCGCCTCCTTAGTCCTGGCTGTCTGCTCCTTAGGATCCTTGGCCGACTGCTTCTTAGGTTCCTTGGCCGTCTGCTCCTTAGGATCCTTGAGGCTCCTTCTTAGGTTCCTTGGCCGTCTGCTCCTTAGGATCCTTGACCGTCTGCTCCTTAGGATCCTTGGCCGTCTGCTTCTTAGTTCCTTGGCCGTCTGCTCCTTAGGTTCTTGGCCGTCTGCTCCTAGGTCCTTGGCCGTCTGCTCCTTAGGTTCTTGCCGTCTGGCTCCTTTAGGTCCTTGGCGTCTGCTTCTTAGGTTCTTGGCCGTCTTGGCCTCCTCTTAGGATCCTTTCCGTCTGCTTCTTAGGTTCCTTGGCCGTCTGCTCCTTAGGATCCTTGACCGTCTGCTCCTTAGGTTCTTGGCCGTCTGCTCCTTAGGTTCCTTGACCGTCTGCTCCTTAGGATCCTTCTGCTTCTAGGTTCTTGTCTGCTCCGTCTTGCTCCTTAGGTCCTTAGGATCCTTGACCGTCTGCTCCTTAGGTTCTTGGCCGTCTGCTCCTTAGGTGCCTTAGCCAATAAATATTATATATATATATATATATATATATATATATATATATATATATATATATATAT